TTTCCCTGTCTGCCTGTCACCACTCCCTCACTTCTGTCAGTGCTAAAACAGACCTAACTCCATAGCAAGTCAGCTAGGACAAGGTTAAGCTGTCTGCCAAATGGACTCACTACGCGGTCAGATGAAGGCCAATACTTTCTGATGCAAAACAGGAAGCAGGAACAGCAAATCATGAAGGAATGGCAGGACTGCAGCAGCCCTTGGTTCATACTGTCATGGAAACATTAAGTCCACTTCACACTACTAAAAATAACATGCTATCACCTCTCCTCCACATCAAAAAGTTTACCATGTTATCCAGTAGTCAGTGCCAAGGCATTTGGCTGCTTCACTACCACAGGGTAAGTGATCACTTACACGACTTGCACTGTGAGGGACTTGTATCTGAACTGACAAAACAGGTGTAATATAGCAATTTCCTAAAAACATTTTAAGGACAGCATTATCCTTTTTCTGCTACTGTATCACTTACTAATTTCACAACTTGAATTAAATAAGCAGCAAACAATGGATTGCACAGCATGACCAACATTTCAACAGGGAAACTATAGAAGGCAGCATTATATTCTTCTCATTTGCAAAAGCAAAAATGTAAAACCAACACACCATGCAATAATGAATTAGAAAGAGCTATTCAGGGAAGCCAAAGTTGCATGCACAATTTATTGTGGCCTTTTAGATAGCTAGAACAAATGAAATCTTCTCCTAATATCTTTCAAATTTCAAGCTTTTGCTACTCCTAATTACAGAGCAACAAATTATGTACAGTATTACTATAATATCAACTTTTTTTAAATAAGGCTAAAGCATGGTTAAAAATTCTTAATTTTTTTCTACTATCTTTTTTTTCATGGAATTCACAGCACACAAAGTTCTCAGGGTAAAAATTAAGACATCCTTCAGCTTACTGTAAGTAGATGAAACTAAACCATAATGAAAATTTACAACTCTACCTATAAGGAAGGTACTAGAAATTTACTTTAATAAATAAACAAGCCCTACCACATGACACTTGCTGAAGGCAGTCTTTGGGACAGAACTGCTTTTAGCTTATCCAACTGAAAAATAAACCATTCTACCAATACTATTTTTCCTTCATTACATTCTCAACTGTTATACAAAGAAAATGCATATACAAGTGACTAAATATAGAAATACTACCAAAATAACGTCTCTAGTAACAGGAGTAAACAGAAGGAGGACAGTTAGTAAATGAGTACGTAATAAGCATCACTATCAAAAACCGTCCTATTTGTAAAAATCATGCTGTGTACAGCACATTTACTTTCCCATACAGATAAATTTAAAGATATTCAAGACTGAAAAGCCTAAAATCACTACTACAGGCAAGATCCAAATGTATGAACAAAATAAAAATCTTCTACTGAAACACTATTTCCTACTCATCACAACTTTAAAATTCCATTGTTGTAGCGGCAAATGATATACACAGTTTGACAGTGAGCATCACCAATTAATATTGTGTTGTAGTTGTCTTCAGAGAAGATGGAGGCAGCAACCAAGTAAAACCACAGTTGCCCCAACACAAGAAGAGCACTACAGAAAATCTGAATAACAATTATTCCAGACCAAATTAGAATAGCTAAGCAGAAACCCAGAAATACAATCTTTTCCTCAGAAAGGAAACATGTGGCGTCAAGGGAAAAAGGGGTAAAAAGTATTTGTCCGTAATTTTAATTCTGTTGTATCTGCCTCATCCTATACAGAGGATAGGATAAAGGTGAATTAGCAATTAAAGAGACCTGGACATCTGTAAAATGAAAGGAGTATCTATAGAAACACATTCAGCTAGAAGAGTTCTTAGAAATGCAGAAGCCTAACATATTTCTGGCAGAAGAATTGAGCCCTAAAGTCCAGGACCTCAAAGAACAATTTCAAACCCTTATTGATGCTCTAATTCCATATGTTATACTTATGCACCTCCACTTACACAAGTCCTGTGTTTTTTCTTACATTCTGCAGTGCACAATCCAGAGGACCTTTTGCCTTTGCTTTGCAAGAGAACCACCCATCCTTACTGAACTCTTGCAAATAACACACAGCTCTCAAAGCTCTCAAAATAAAGAGAGATCAATAATCTGCAGGATTCGCTTCAGAAGGAGGCATAAGGACAGTACAGCTCAATGGGATCTCAGAAGTCTGCAGACTATTGTTTCAGCTTTTTTTCAAAGAAAAACATGGAAGAAGCAATACCATATGATATTGCAGGTCTAGATAATGACCAGTATCTCACTGAACTATGGGAAGAGGAAAGGAATTAGTCCTATGGAACATGAAGTACAGTCAAAATTAAAAAAAGGTTTCATACCAAAGAAATGGAAATTAAATATAAATTAATAATAATTAAAAAAAAATATTGGCCCTTCTCCTTGGGAAGAGGAAAATGGCATGTTCAGCCAGCCTGCCTCAAGTTGTCCTCGTTATTTCTAAAGATAAACTGCTTGACTATACGACCATCTTGTTAAAAATCTATTAATTCAAATCCATAAGGAAAAAAAAATCATTAGTGATACAGGTTCATAAAGAAACACACTTTAGTACTGAAACAGTCTCTGTTCACCCAAGTACATTCAAAGAGAAATCTGTTTTAGGAAATTAGGCTTTTTAACATCTTGAGTACAAAAATAACTGATCATTCGAAGAAATTAGCAACTAATTCCCATCTCTTAGCACTAGAACACTAACACATTTCTGAAATTTATCTCAGAAACTCAAAGCATTGTCATTCTATAGCAAGAACGAGAATGAGTCTTCTCTCCCACAGTCTCAAACTTTAATCAAGTTGGACTGCAATAAAACAAATACATTTACATATCAATTTTAATCCTTTTATATTCATTTGAAAAACAATAATAATTGCAGGTATTCTACCACAAGAAAGGGAATTTCCAATTTTCTGTTCATACATTTTAGAGTATCTTTGCAATCTTCCAATACCCACAATTTCACCCATATTGTTATAATTTGCTAGTATTTCCTTTTTTCTTCATCGTTCTCCTGATTATTTGAAGGTTTATGGCTTCCCTCAGAAGTTTTCAATTTGTATAATTTAATACTAAACTGAATTTTTCAGCTCTCAAACTGCCTGAAACCATAATTTGATTAAACAGCCATTTTTTATACTAATTGAGCAGATGCAATAGGTGGTGCAAAAAACAAGTTCACCTATATAATAATTCATTAGTATGTATTCCACATGCCTGTTTCAGCAAGGCATAATTTTGAGAAATTAGAGCCAGCAGACCTTTAACTCTTGCACAAGTAATGCGCACCACCTAAATCTCTTATGCCTATGTATAACATATAAAGATGATAATGAAGTGAACTGACAAAGTGTATTTCAACTGATGCTCTATTTGAACAATAGTTAGCCCTGTGTTGTTGTTTTCTATTAAAGGGGAAAACCAATTATTTCTGTAATGAGGATTACAGTGCTTCCCCAACTGATTAAGTTACTAAATGAGCCAGAGTGTTTTCAAGACAAAGATTTGGCTGACAATACCACAATGAAAAAACTACTAATGCATTAAATTTTTTTTTGAGGCTCAAAACACACCCATCCAACAGCTCCGCAAAACAAGTGTAACACAAACATACACAGAGTATACACATCAGTACTTCAGACATACTGGGGGCTTGTGACCTATCACGTGATCTTGAAGTTGACCCTTCAGTCACATTATTCAGCAATAAGAGGGAGGTAAAAGAATCAGATCTATGACAAAATTTCGCATGGAAATTTAAGCTGCATGTTTTTAAAACTATTTGCTCTGTAGTACTTAGAGAACAAACATAAGGGTTTCCAAGTTTTGCCCATATAAAAAGTCTTTTTCTTTCTACCATTTCTAATCCTGACTATAAACTCAACCCTAATGTGCTCAAAGTCTCTTTAATAAATTAATAAATTCTGATGATCTACTTTCTCTAGTGATTTTTCTGCTTTCAGAAACTGACAATGTGCAATGTCAGAGGTGTAAATTACATTTTTTCATACCTCCTGCTTGATATTCTACCATTTTTTGATAATTCAAGAATTAAGTCTCTCTCCCTATCTTTAGTAACTTTTAAAAATGTGTTCTGAATAAATTTGCTTATAGAGACACCATGTGTCACCACAAATTTCCTCACAGCCAGCATCTATTAGCATTCACTAAGCACCCAAAATCAGTAGTCATTTTAATACCACCTAATACTTTCTTTCTCAAGATCACCTCATATTTTCCTCATAATATGGAAAATTTTTCCACCACTGAAAAAGATACAATTTATTCTTATCATTTTACAGTGGCACAAAAGTGGTGGTAAGAATGAGCACAAGATGCAAGTTAATGATACACCATACAGCCACACTTGCTTTGCGTGACAATACAGAGAATATCTAACAGAAGGGCTCTCACAGGGCAATTCTGGTCTCTGCAAGAGGCTTGAAGTCATCTAGCTGGCCAGAAGGCAGTTTATATTATCAGGAAATAAAAAAGACAACCCATTTTCCAGTTTCCCTACATTCACGTATAGTGACAGGAGAGCTGATACTAAAGGATTTTGTTCTTTTTGGAAAGTGTTTAATGTGATGATCAAAAAAAAACATGCCTTCTTTTCCTAAAGTATCAGAATCATCTCAAAGTGAAACATAAAAGCATGTCATATTTCCCCAGCCTTAAAATGATGCATAGTAATACTGAAAAAGAGAAAACTAGTGTTTGCAAATAGTTTTTGCCTTTTAAAGGTGATAATTTCCTGCATCTATATCTAAAAAACAGGCAAAACCCCCCCAACATCTCTTTGAAATACTAATCTGTTGTAAGGAATAATTCAATCTTGGATGAGACATTTTAAAGATCATTAGAGTATTACAAGAGAATATCTAAACTTCATTTTAGGATGCCACTCTGCAGGCTTACTCTTACTGCTGCAGTATTAGTTGTATTTCAAAAGCAACTTTGAAAATGGAAATCAAAGGCTTGCATACAAATACTTACTGCAGGTATCAGTAACTTTTTTACTTCTTCAACAGCCCTCTTCAGTTTTATTTCTGCTCTGTTCTGAGCATCCTCCACAGTGATAAGTACATGTAAATCTTCATTCAGGTGTTCCCAGTTGGGCTTGCCTCGGTTCTGTTCTTCCTAAAAAAAATTAATACATGGAAGCTATGAAACACATTCTGTATGAAGTAATCACGTAAGCAGTAGACAAATTCTGTGAATTGTATGAACTGTATTTTCAGCCATATTTCTTCATACTTTGGAGACTATTTTGTTTTATAGGAACTTAGGCTTCAAAATACTTTTTTGGGGATTTGTTTGTGTTTTAGAACCTCATACCCTATTAATTTTTTTTAAGACTACAATACAAATGCTGTTTCTTAGACTACCTTTCCCGGTTGAACAAAGGAATAAGAACAAGAAGAATTACAAACACAGTCTTACTTTAAATATTCTTTGCAGCCTTTTGAGAGTTAAAGACATAAGATATATTAGTGGTTAAGCAACGTAATCTTTTGAAGAAAAGTGAAAGAGACATCATAGTTAGAAACTCCATGTGAATCACTCCAAAGGAAAAGAAAGCAATTCTTCAGTGTTAAAAATCATTTTTAAATACTCATGAAGAAAAGATTCAAGACTCAAGCACGAGAAAAGGACTAGAAGTTGTAATTTTCAAAGCAGAGCTACATGTACTGGATGAAGGCAAGAGAGATGGCGTGGTTTTAATACTGAAGTCACAGAAGTGCACATGACAAGACTTTCATCATTAGATAGGTATTCTGTCACACCCATGGCATTAATAATCCCAAAGATAAATCTCAGAAATGTTTTCAGAAAGGGAGAGCAAGCTAAATAAAACACTTCTTATGTAGACAATTTTAAACAACAGATATCAATAAACTTAAATAACACACTCAAGTCGTTAAAAAAATTATATAATGAAACAACATAGAAGAAACTTCCCAACAACTTTTTTAAGCTGTAAATACAGCTAGTTAAATTTCCCCAAAACCTCACTTAAATCTGAAAATATCTAAAATGTAATAAAACAAGTAAAAAATGAGAAATGTTTATTACAACTTTTGAATCTAAAAAAAGGTCCACACAAATAAACCCCACTTATCTGAAATTTAAAATACTGGACATAATATAAGAGTCTCCTATTTGTAAGATACACATTTGTGCTTTAACCGCAATTCACACTTTAATTTTGCATGTCTAATTTTCTTTAATCACAAATGTGTCTTTTCCCCCAAATTTCATGAAAAGTTCTTCCAGGAAATCAGACATGCTGAGGAAATATTTGAAGATGTAATACCAACAAATGCTCACAGTACTTTATATTCATATATACTTGAGGGATCACTGTTCCTTCAAATATTTTCTTTTTAATTCAGCTAAGTCTAAAATGTTGTCTGGAATGGATAAGGATAAAAATGGGGAAAAAAACAGAATCATGATAGATAAAAGGAAAATTTATGTAAAAGAATCAGTACTTGGAAGGAAACTTCTTTTCACTATTTATGTAACATGCACATATGCACTAATCCATACTACCAGCTACAGTGGTGTGGGGTTATCTTAGCCAACTTTGTAAACAAAGGTGGCTGTGAAAATAGCTCTATGAATTTCAGAAGCGAAGAAGAGAGAAAAATAATCCTTATTTATGGAACAGAACCCAACGCCAAGTGCAGCTGAGTTATAACATGTTCTCTGTTGCAATTTAATCTTTGAAAGAACTATCTATGACAAGGTATTTGCATCCTATTTATTCAATCATGATCAAAACTCCACTATTACTATTTAAACAATTCTGCTTATTATTATTTTTTTAGTCTAAAGCAGGAGTGAGTTGTTTTCTTTTAAGATGGTGACAAGCTATATTAATATGAGGTAGTACAAAATATTATGTTACACGTAGGATGAACGAGAGAAGGTTCCTAAACCAGCAGAGGGCAGAGCAAGAAACATGCAATTACCTCTTCTTGTACTGACACAATGCTGGAATGGAAAAGGTACTAGTTCCTAACTCAAGATGCATGACAACCTGCACTACTGCAGTATCATATGGGGGGGGAAGGCCAAGAGAGACAAATGGACAAATGACAAGGAAAGGTGACCCCAAGAAAAACAGCAAGTTCTGTTTCCAAAAGATAAGGAATGCCTAAATGCAGTTTTAGCTACTATGCAATTAAACACTATATAAATAGTGTGGGTAAACAAAGAGGCCTTACGGTGCCGTATCAATTTCTTTCATAATGAAAATAATAGGGTGCAAAGTTTCAAAAACTTGGAAAACTTGGAGGACTTACCATCTGTCAGCAGCAAAATTTAAAATCCACATTGTTGTAGTGTATTCATGATTCGTAATTTTTAGAAAACAAAAAACTCTTTCTTTGTTATTGAAAAGAAGGTAGCCTGCCTCTTGGTTTTTCGCTATTTAAAAGTTTCAGATTAATGTTACATCAAGTACTGATGCTGTACTCCAAATTATCTGTTGCAGCATGAGAATTTTTCGTTCAGTTAGAAAAGAGAACAAAGAAGATGTACATAGGACAAACAAATGATACAGAAGATTTTTTTTTTCTCCTAATTTACTTTTAGGTAGAACGCATCATGTGTAAGGTCAATAATTACAGGTATTATTAAGGTCAGACCTTACAGCACAAGCAATCATAAAAACTACTTATCAGTAAGATAACTGAACTAGTGTATGACTATGACATGCTCTTCTATGGTCATGAAGTACATTAATAGAAGTCTTGTTGCTTAGAGTACCATTTATTAAGTCAAATGGAAAGACTGAAAGAAAGGTTAAGAAGAATAAAAGTCCGTACTGTGTTTTGAAAAAACAGTTAGTAACAAAAACAAAAAAGACAGAGTTTGGAATGGGCTTCCAATTTCTTCTGTTCTACCTCAATGCACTGGGGCTTTGAACTCCTCCAGTGCTTCCCTTCTGTCCCACAAAGTTGTTTTCTTAGTGGCTTAACAGTTTTCTAAGAAATGTCTTTTGCTCTGCTGAAAATTCTAGTTGAATGTTATACCAATATGTATAATTGATTATTTATTTGTTTGTTTTTACCAAAATTAGGAAATTCAGGTCCATACTAGCTCATTCATTGAAACAGAAAGTCAGATGCAAAATATACAACGGGGTTATGCTGATTGGAGAGAGAGAACCTGTAACCTCTTGTAGTTAAGAGCTGCAATTTTTTATGTTACCTCATTCTCCTTTTAAATCCTAAAAGGATGGTTTGGAAAAATGTATTTTCCCCCAAGTAAAATCTTTACTTATATTAAACTAATCCTCTGTGCAACAAGTCTTGAAACCTCTTTGACTACAACAAAACATTGTTGAGGAAGTCTGAACTGGTAAACTGAATATACCTGGAACGCAAGGAGGAAAGTATCTTTCTTAAGACTCATGAAATATGTTCCGAGATTTTAAGGGTTGATTAGGGTTTTCTTTTGAAAATTTTTTGGGAGAAAATGCTGAAAAGAAGGGCAGGACAAAATGACTACAATTTGCCCTGCTGCTTACTCAGTACAAAGAAACTAAGAGATGTGGTGGTCTTGGAGTGAATTGCAGATAAGACAAACCAGATTCACATCACAGATTCAGAGAACAGCTGAGGTGGGAAGGGACCCTGAACATCACCCAGTCCAAACCTCCTATTCATGTTAAACTCATGCATGTTGGGAAGGGCTAGGTTTTAAACATCTCCAGGGATGGAGACTCCATCACCTCTCTGAGCAACCTGCTCAGTGTTCAGTGACGATAAAAAAAGCTTTTTCTTAGGTTTAAATGTAACTTCTTTCCTTTCAGTGTGCCCACTGCCCCTTGTCTTTCAGTAGCAACTGTTGAGCAATTCAGCGTAGTTGCCAGGTCTACCTACTGAAAAAGCAACAAGGAGTAAGAGAAATTGTCATGAGAATTATTTTGGGAAAAAAAACATTTGTTACCACAGCAGGAAGAGTATGCACACTGAAGAAAGAAATGGCACCAGGAAAATCAGAAAACCTGACTAAGGCTTGGAGAAAGAGAAATTCAATTGCATATATTCAAAATTACATACACAAGACATAATTTACAGCATGAAGTTTTCCTGCATCCCAAAGATTGTTTATGGAAGAATTATACAGGAAAAATGGAGACAGTGAAGACACGGGAAAGTATAGAGTGAAGTGATTTATGCCACAACCTTGGGAACAACAGTATTAGAAAAGCTTAATTACAACCAAACTGTCTTGTCTGCTAAATTAAAGAACATTAAGAACAACATAAATGGCAGATGAAATTTCACTGTGCTCCTTGTTTGGCAGAAATTTCAGTATCCTTAAATATGGTCTATTCTGTAAACAGATTTGCCTTCATTCTCTTGCCTGTGCATATATATACTCACTATCCTCAGAGTACCTATACAGAATAATGGACTACTTAATATTTATCTTGCTATGAAGGTCAATGTATCAGGTAGTTTAAAAGAAAAAAAACCTTGCTAAAACTCCTCAAAATTTAGCTGCAAAAAATTAAAAAGTAACAACTACAGAAATTTTCTTGGGGAAGGAATTGGGGGGGGGAGCTGAAAAGCAGGCAAAGGTTGCCATTGACTTGAATCTATACAGTGAAACTTGAATATTAGAAAGGTTGTTCCATGAGAGGAAATACTGCAGTCCCTCTCACTGTTAATTTGTGTCATGTGTTTTCCATACCCCTCACCATACCGCAGGAATTTCAAGTCGTGGTCTTACACCTCCTGCATCTCGGGCCCTAATGGCCATTCCTATTTACATCTTCATATCCCATTCCAAAGCTTTCCTCTTAATTTCTCAACCTCTGACTTAACAAGAACTTACTAGCTTCCTGTAAGCTACACAAAGCAGATGATTAAAACTCACCTAGACTGGAGTACAAAGTTAGGTCTCTATCGAGCCAATACATTTCGAAAACTCTAAACCCAAAGGAAAGAAGTGTCAAGGTTAATTGAAACTGTTAAAATTATTCAGATGTTGAAAGGCGGAAATACTTTCAGAAAGAAAGCCATCACAAAATATTTTGTCATCAACTCTTTAAAAATCCTCAAACTTTACTTCTCACCACAAAGACCTTCACAGTATGGCCAACTGCCCCAAAAAAAAGT